TTGGAGGGAGGTGATGTATTTGACTTAATGCTATATTTCAGGTGCTGGCAGAACAGTAAGATGGAAATAGCAGATGAGCTTTTGAAAAAAGAGAAGTAAAGTTTAGAAGAGGTTTGGGCTAGGAATATAGGTTGGGAGTCATCCTCACAGAGAGAGTAGTTAAAACCATTCAAATGATGACATTGATCTAGCGAGTGGAAGTAGCATTGATTGAGATTCTTATCTGTATTTTCAGGTGAAATACAGGGAGGTAAATGTAATCTTATTTAAAGGTTTATAAAGTTATGAACTAACCTAGACATTTTTACATAGAAGAGCTTATTTTGCAATGTTTTATTTGATCTTAAAAGGAGAAATAAACAATCAATCAGTTTCTATCTTCTTCCCAATCCTATATCTCTTACACCTGTTGGCCCACTAACATGTCTAAATGTAAACATCCATGACTTCTTCAGTTTTTAATTTCTCAGGTCATTCATCCTTTCATTTGAAATTACTGGATTAGTCACAGAGGTTAAGAAGATAGTTGCGAAATTATCTGAATTTTTAATATATGTGAAGCAAGACATATTCTATTATTCCATCTTAGTTCATTTGGGCTATTTGTTTAAAAAGACAATAAATTCTTATTTATATATTGAATTACATGTTTAACAATTATTAATAGTAAATTATCAGCAAAATTTCAAAGAAGAATATTGGTTTTAACAATAAGGGAATATTTGACAAGCATCTTAATATTAATATTGAGCCCAGTAGTAATCTTAAGGGCTGAAATTCATAATATAGTTCCCAAGACTCTAAGCTGGCAAGGGTTGTAAAATGATTTCAGTACACAGAATTTTATTGTTCATAACATTATTTGGTAAGTCCTATTTGCTATTAATTACCAAAAAATGACATTAGGCTTATCTCTTTCATCAACATTTATTTCTTTCATTTCTAAAATAATGGAAGTATAATAATTAGAATTATTCATTTTACAGGGACACATTTTGAAAGCATGGCTTGATATTACAAGAGGAAAAGAACCTTATACTAAAAAAGCACTAAGGTGTTTTGAAGAGATATTAGAAGATGGAAATGATATTTTCGCTTTGCTGGGTAAGGTGAGTTGGACTCAGGGTAAATAAATCATGTTTCAAAATGTATTCATAATACATTTAAAATCCAGAAAAACTAAGTAGCTCAAAAAGATAATAGTTTTCATGATACTGTAATTGTAAGGGGGACTTGCATTTGTGTAGGACACAGTAAACTAGAGAAATGTATTCTCTGCCAAAGTTCCTGAATCCGAGATCGGTAGTAGTTGTTTTTGTTGTTGTTTTTGACTTACACGTTTTTTCCTCACCATTTATTGTGTGTCTAATATGTACAAGGCATCACTCTTAGACACTAGGGAAATCTCTGAGCAAAAGAAAACCTCCTTTTTTTATGGAGCTTATATTCTACTGGGGGAGACAGACAATAAACAAAATAAGTAAATAAATTATATAGTACACTAGAAGGTAATATGTGCAGTGCAAAAATTACAAATAAAGCAGGAAAAGGGGAAAAAGGAGAACTGGGGCATGGACTTGCGATTTTACATGAGGTGATCAGAGAAATTGACATTTGAGAAAAGACTTATAGGAGGTGAAGGTTAAAGCACCGTGGGCACCTGGGAGAAAGCATTTCAAACAGAGGAGATAACAGGTTCAGATACCTTCAGACACATTCAGGGGTGGTAAGGAGACCAACGTGGAAAGAGTAAAGAGAGTAGAAGTGAAGGCCAGAGGAAAGAAGTTGGGTGTGGAGGTAATAGGAGAGATGGGTCTATTCTGTAAGGCCTGGGGCTTTTACTTTGAATTAGATAGATAGGCAGCCAGTGAAAA